AATAATTTTAACCAAAAGGGTATTTAGCAGGGCTAAGAAGCGCTTCTCATTGGTCAGCGCTGTCAGGGGACTGCGCTGACCAACGATTGCTTGCAATTTGCGAACAAAATTCAGAATACATGGCACAGGTACAGATAGTACACCCGTACTGGTGGACGGGAAGGACCGTTTGCCGAAAAGTATAGCAGGGGTGCGACAAGGCCAGATTTGTGTGGGTAATACAATTTTCCCAAATTACTTGGGAAAGAGAATTTACCCTTTAGGGCTGGTGCAGACTTTTTTCGCGCCATGCACTGTTTTAAACTGTAATTATGCGTGATTGCACAGGCGCAACTGCGGCGGGAACCCGCACAACCTGCCATAGAAAATAATGGCACTGCCAGCGCGATCGACTGTTTTGTGCATGATTGCCGCACGGTCATGATTGCCGCAGGTCAAGGATCACCCACTCAGCTCTCACACACACAATGGTTGGTTTTAATTTTTTTAATTTTTAAATTTTTCATTTTATAATAATTTTTTTACTTTACCGCCTTTTTATTTTTTACATTTTTGTGGGCTGAAAGTCTCGGCTTATACTCGAGTATATACGGTAACTTTATACAGGGGCCAACAAGCCACTGTGTAATAGCATTTGGATTTGACAGGTTCTCTTTATTTAACCTTTAACCTCCAATACAGGAGTTCCAGCACAGCACTGTGCTCGTTCTCCTGTGACAGGAACGCTGAGAGTGCAGCATTCCTGTGTCAGTTCTCTCAAGCAGCAGAACGGAGAACGTCAGAGCGGAGAACGGACGTTTTCCGTTTGGCTACCCGCTCTCCATCCTGATCTGATTGGCCGTGGTCCCGGGTCCCCCAGAAGAGCGTGGGACCCCGAAGACCACGGCAGGGAGGGAGCCAGTGTGTGGGGACAGAGGCAGCTGCTGGGGACACAGACGGAGAGGCTGGAGAGGGGGGGGGAGAGTGAGAATCAGGCTGGTTACAAGTGATCTCGAGCAGCATATAGCTGCTTAAGATCACTTGTACAAAACGGCTCCCGCACTACCTTTAGCCCTGCTGCTTGCCCAAAGCAGGGTTAAATGTAGAGAAAAAACTACCCACCCGGGACTCCATGTCCCGGGCGATAGGAATTCCACACCCCTGCTCAGAGTGATGATACAGACACCAGTTCACGATTTAAGCTTCAGCTTGTCCATTTAGTCTCTCCGTTCTTGGGTGTGTTCAACTCTACCAAGTGCTCTGCTGTTGTTTCTGTGCTCCGTGTATGATCCCAGCTCTGGCTGACCGATGTCCTGGTTCCTGACTATTGTTTCCATTCATCCCGCTCTCAGTGTTCCCTGATCTGGTTCGGCTGACGACCCACTTTGGTATCTGACCTCTGCCTTGGCACTGATGACGTCCTGGACTTTCTTCATTGTTTTGCCTTATTTGCTTATTATTATTTTCAATCAACTCTTTTTTAACCTGCATGTTTCTGTCTGGTTTCTTGCTTCTCTGACAGAATGAAATGGACAGCTAGGGAGAACATAACTAGATGATTCTGGATGTCCTCCAGCCGGGAAATACTGCAACTTCTAATGCACACTGTGAGAAAATTCACAATCTGCAGTGAGATCAGAGTAATTTCAGTACAGTAGAGGAGCCTGTACAACTGTGCAAGACTGTGCATCATATCTGCATATCAACTCATTTGGGAAGAAAAGACATGGTGAGTTTGTATTGGGTCAAAAGATGAGGTGAGTCGTGGGTGGGGTCAACTTGGATGAGCATATTTGTTACTAACCTTCATTCGAGTTGAGAAATCTTATTATTTATGGTCAGTCTATGACGCCAATAGAGCTAGAGATCCGATACATTGAATATTAGCTCACCCTCAAGCAAGTTTTTGTACTGTTGACATGTTACATGTACAATTCAACAATCTACCATTGTACACACTAATCAGCTTCTATACAATGCTGTGAATGTTTAAGGAAAGTAAAAGCATTACCAACAAAGCTGAGTAAAACAAGACTACAGGCAAATAAACATTGATGCGTGAGAATCAATCATACAGGAGACATTATTTCAAGTCAAGGGTCTTCTTTACAGATGGTAAACAATGTGTACACATGCTGTATATGCCTGTACTGTGATCAAAGTTCAAACTAAACAAATCCAAGAAATCATCCCTGACGGAACTAACAACCCAGCATGATATGATGGCCTGTAATTTATCAAGGATGCTAAACAAAAAATGTCAGAAATAAATCTTCCTGGTTTGCTTGAACATAGAAAATGTCCTGCCAACTCAACAAATGTGGCCTATGACACGTGAAAGAAAACAAAAGTATTAGGACGCGATCAATGTTAGATTACATTAAAGTTTTTTGTTTATCATCCTTGTAATTGGTACTTCACTGTGTTCTATCCCAGCTGTTCCTCCATACACATCCCACGCAGGAACACAATGACAGGATACAGGTTGCTACACTGTTCAGAAACCTAGACAACAAACCATGACTAAGGAGAACAAATTGCATAGCTGGAGGCCAACAGAGCTGCCAGTCATTAAATTTGAAATTAACCTATCATACAAATTACAAGAGCTGGTGAAAAGCTGAACACCTGTCTAGTTAGTGTCACGTGTACCTTTTAGGAGCAATTTCAGCTATAAAAAATTGCTCATTACTCTGTGGAAAAAAAGCCATGGCAAAAGCAATTGCTCTGACCAACATGCCACCTATTACCAATGGTTCAGATACATCTGCTCGCCACTGAAAAGGTCTCAGAAACACAAACAGCACCACACAGTTATGAACAGATAAGGCACAGTATACAATGTGCTTGTTCAGACATGGGCTTAACTTGTTTTGTTTACACCAGCGTAAAGTAAATAAATATATATATATATTTATTAGGGATGCACCGAGTACTCATACTCGCCCAAATGCTCTGATACCTTCCCTGATACCGGAACCTCCGGTCAGAGGGAGATTTCTGGCTTCCTGTGCAATCAAGAAGCCGCCCGGCGGGTAAGGACACGCTGCCCGGCTTCCTGAATGCCCGGGAAGCCAGCTCCATGCTAGCGGAAGTACCGGTATCAGCGAGAACCGAAATATATCGAAAAGTCAGAAAAGTTGGGGTTTTTTAGGCAGCCGACTGACAACTTGCACACCAAGAATTTCTTGAAAAAGTATATTTTAATTGATTAAAAAGCAAATAGAATTGATAAAATTGACAACATGATTCCCCTATAAACTCACTCCACATTGATTAAATTCATTCATATGTAGATGACAATCAGAATTCTTGTGCAATTGAACATGATTGAAAAAGCATGATTGAAAAGTTCATAATTACATAACATGATTTATATAATGGAAGATTATGGAGGAGCTTGATTTTCTCAACGTTTCGCACTAGATAGCGCTTCTTCAGGAGATGAAGAGGGAAGTTGTCCTTGGAGTCTGTGTGCATCCCAGTCGTTCACCCTGGCTCAGACCGTGAAGGAATAAAAGCAAATGGCAAGGAGGGGAGAAAGAGGAGAGAGAAAATGAAAAGAGGCCCAAGACCCCAGTAGAGGCAGACCCAATCGGGAGATGGCGGGGGTACCACTCCTCGCAAAAAATTGGGAGTAGATAACAAAACGTTGACAGTCAGCGTAGTAAGGTAACCGTTCCTCTCTCTCTAACTTTTCAATCATGCTTTTTCAATCATGTTCAATTGCACAAGAATTCTGATTGTCATCTACATATGAATGAATTTAATCAATGTGGAGTGAGTTTATAGGGGAATCATGTTGTCAATTTTATCAATTCTATTTGCTTTTTAATCAATTAAAATATACTTTTTCAAGAAATTCTTGGTGTGCAAGTTGTCAGTCGGCTGCCTAAAAAACCCCAACTTTTCTGACTTTTCGATATACGACTCTTAGGGGTGTTGGCATCCTAAGCCTTGATCCAGGTCACTGTCTTTTCAAATCAGAGAACCGAAATATAAATATCTCTAATCGTACTTGATACCGATACTAGTATCGGTGCCAATGCCGAGTATTTGGGCGAGTACTCACCCAAATGCTCTGATGCCTAGCCCGATACTTCCGGTATCAGGAAGCCGGGCAGCGCGTCATTACACGCTGCCCGGCTTCCTGATTGGCCAGAAAGCCGGCCCCCATGCTCTCTCTTCAATTATATACAAGGAAACAGGCCAGTTTTGTTTTAATATTGGAGCATTTTCTGTGTGCCAAATTCACCATGCCATAAGACAAGCTCTATGTGGTGTTGCATCAGCTGCGCCAAATCACATTTAAAGTACTATGCAACAGTTTCTATCCATGTCCAATCGTGTGCGCCAAAATAATGAAACACTTGCACAACTCAAACTTTGGGATTTTTTTTTTCATGCTTGTTGATAATGATCATCTCCAAACTGAAGACACAGACAGCAATGAAAATCTGACATGTATACTGATTCCTCTCAACTTTATCCAAAACAAACAAAAAAAAAGGTTTTGGGTTTATATTACATCCTAGAGTAAATATCAGTGGAAAAGGATCCTGCAAATATACACAAAGCCTACCCACAATTCCCATTTCTGACACATTTCCAGATCAGGCCCAATTTCTTCAGCTAGTCAGCATGAAGGACAATCCTATAAAATCAGGGAGCCTATTTTAGGCATATTATCTATTTATTTTAAGGGTGAAAAACTGCAAACTTCTATTCATTTCAACCAGAAAAAGGTGCTAAACAGACTTCTAAAATGTCTGATCTGAAAAAAAATTCCCCAAAAGTGAATTTTTTTAAATGTAAAAATCTCCGTAACAATACTTCACATAATCAAGGTATAATATTTTTTCAGGAAGGCCCAGTAACATGTCTGAAAGCATATAAAATGCAGGATAACAGATTACACCAAGTGGGATAAAAACAAGTTACAATACTGTGACCTCTGTAAAGTCGCTCTACAAAATATAAGATTTAACACTAGGAAATTATTTGGTAGCCAAACTACTTACCATTTTTCCGTTCTTTAAGAGGGGGCAATTGCTGGACTGACTGCAATGACAGCTCCTCAAAATCATGGGCAACTGCTTCACTTTGAGGACTGGGAACCAGGTGGAGAGAAGACCCAGTTTCCCCATCCTGAGTCATTTGATGGTCCATTGTGGTGCAAAATGACGAAGAAAAAGAATGATCTTGCTTCACTTTTTCAACACAAGACTGTAAAAATGACACACAAAAGATAGGTTAGATAAAAGGTTAATGACAAATCAAACATTTCTTTCACATTAAAGTTTTATGAAGCATTGTAAAAATCTTTCATTTGCACATTCCTTACTACAGCAAATTAGGTCTAAATAGGTAGACTTCTTTGTCTTGTAAGATCCTTATATATTGTGAAAAAATGTATGTCTAATGAAAAGGGAAATAGAGGGTATCACATCACAATAAAAGCATTGACCACACACAGTAAGAATTTACAAAGTAGCAGGACCACAAAAAGCAAATCCAAAGAAAATTGTTCATGGCCACCTACTGCATCATCTGACGTGATCTGTATATAAGAGTAGTGTACATCTTTAAGAATGAAGGCCAAGATAGAACATATTTTGTTTCAAAATTATCACCAACATAAAAATAGATGGGATAACAGGAATATATCATTTACAACCTTGTAGAAACCATTTAACTACAATGACAAAAATGGCCAGCATAGTTAAGACCTCAGGCTAAAGGTCAAAAAGAAAAAATTACTTTGTTCAAAGAGAAACAACCAGCGACATTTTGGAGGCGCAGGGGCCCCCTTTCTCAAGGTGACCGAAAAAAGGCCCCGCTAATGTAATTGTTTGCTTTTTAACCTTAGTAAACATCTTTGGTCTTAACTGTTTGGGATCACAGGGATGACAAAATCTTGCAATGGGGACACCTATTGGTGACACCTGTCTTTCTTTTACTTTAGGAGAGGATTTCTGTTGCACGTTCTGTTGACAACAACAAAAAAAATGACAGAAGTTCAATCCTTTTCCTACTCCAAATGAATAAATAAAATTGGGCTTATGGCATTTACTCAGAGCTCTGTTCTCCTTTCAGAGAAGCTTAGTTACACATTTCCCAAGATCCACTGCCTTACAAGCCTAACTTGTATATGCATAAATTGGTAAAATCTATATACAATACTGATTTTGATGTGATGATTTTTATTGTTTAATAAAAGAGAAAAAAATGACAGCTTAAACAAACCTTTCTGATGCGGTACATTGCGGTAACATGCATGAATTGTGTAGCACATTGTAACACTAGCTTCGGGAAAATGTTGTGTGTCCATTTTGTGGTCTTTGTGTGCTGGCCAGGCCATTCAAAATTAATCTGCTTGCCTAAGGTTAGGTTCACACCAGATGCAGAGCGTTCGGGCCAGAACGCACTGCATCGCATTGCGGCCGGCTCACTTTTGGCGGGCCATTGAAGTGAATGGCACCGTAGCCACGCCCTCCGGCCACAATGCGATCGTCTGCACGGGATCGCAAGGCACATTGTGCCAGGTCCGATCAAAATGCTGCAAGCATTGATGTCACGCGGCTACCACTGTATGCACTAGCACACGATGGCGTCCCCCAGGTGTCGCTCAGGTCTGAAACTAGCCTCAGGGTGGCTCCACTCTATGGAGGAGCAACGGGCCACCCCTGGACAGCAGAACTATTGTGGAGAGGATAGTGTTAGATGGACTAGCAGATTCAGATAGACTTTACATAAGTGACTAACAAAGTTAAGCCAAACTTTAGATAAACACTTGTTAAGCAGCTACAGAAACTTTTCTTTTTCCATTTGGAAAGATTTTATATAAATGAATAAAAGTTGACCATTGTAAGCACCCCTGCCAGTGTTAAATGGGGTTTCTCATCCCTCTTATATTCAATATAATTTGGATTTAACAGGTGACCAAGGCACCGCATCCCTCATATAAACATGTAGACAAACAGACTTTTGAAAGGGACTTTTCAGGTGCCAACATTACATCAGTCCCATATGATTACATTTCTAAAATAATGTATTATATCCAGTAAAAAAAAGCAAATTACCGTAATACTGAGAAGTTAAGAGCAAGTTAAAAGAGTCAGCAATTAAAACATATAATTTATAATTTTAGAAAAACCACTAATCACATACATAACCGTATACAATTCATATGTATGTTATTAGCCATTCCATGGTCCAATATGTATTGATTCATTTCCTCAGCAGAACCAGAAGGCAAGATTGCAGAGGTATTCTACAATATTACGAATACAACAATAATTATACCATGCAAACACTTGTGATCATATCATTTATTACATACATTTACTTCCAACTACAAAATATAGTTCAGCTTACTTCCAAAGTCAGATGTGCATGTGAGGTGACTGCCCTCTTTGTGGGTAGGGGGGCGTAGGAAAAAATATAGCAGGCCCAGCAAGTTTCATATCTAAGATATTTCACAGTGTGCTAACTAAACTTTAAATGGTACGACGCCCTTGTTGCCATGGCACCCTGTGCGGCCGCACAGCTCGCACACCCCTAAGGCCGGCCCTGTGGTTAAATTCAATTACAGTTTGTAAAACAATTTTGTACGGAGTCTCTGCCTATTTTTCAACCATAACCAGGGCAGAGAGCATTATCACAACCCGCTAACTGCCACTTCTGCAGACAGTTCAGTCTGGTAAAGCTGAAAAATAACCAACTTACTTTTCGGATCACCAGGTGAAAATAAACGGAAAAAAAAGCCTAAAAAAAGAAAACTAATGCTGCCAACACATCTAAGAACTTTTACTCTGCAATATATTACATTTGTGTTTTGGGGTTTAGTTTCACTTGAAACCTAGGAACAGACAAAACTGACTTCTGTTATAATGACCATGTCTTATAACCCAAAAGCTTTTTTTTGATAACATGCACAAAACTGCCAATATCCAGCACTCATTTCTACTGAACATGCATCACATGTGTCAATCAAGCCAAGCTTTTCGGGGCCACGTAGGGTCCTTTCCGCAGGCAAAATAGAGTCATTCTTTCCTGTACAGCCCAGCATGCCCAGTGACACTTTATAAACTGTTTATAACTGAAAAATGAAAGCTAAAATCACCCACAAGGTGACCAAAGCAATTGCCTAGGGCCCATAAGGTTTCTAAAAGTCCCAGCTACAGCCTCCATGGAAATATCTACATCGAGAAAATCACCCTGTTTCGGGTCAGTAGTAGTGCTGCTTAAGCCACGTCCTAGACTACTTGAAATTTTCAGCACGCAACCTAGAAGGTGTCTGGGGTTTTCCTTAAATAATCTCTAGGGGATGGAATAAAGCAGATATACTAATTTGATCCTGGGTCCCATTGCATTTGGCACTCGCCTGTCTCCCCCTCCAGTCCGGCTGTGGAACGTCCCTCTTTGCCCATACGTCTAATCCAAGTCAGTGGACCTGCATTAGATGTGATGACGTCAGCAGTCCTTAGACCGTCGGACCACAGGGGAGAAGAGGCTGCGGGGAATGGTCTAGCAGCTAGATGGAGGATCAGGTGAGTATATCTACTTTATTCCATTCGCTAGGGGAAAAATGAGCACTTAACCCTTGCAGTGAGGGGGTCGCCCAACTGCAAGGGAAAGGTTTTTAAGATTGTGAAGATTATGCAAGCACTGAACCCCCCACCCCCCCCTTTTTTTTTTTTTTTTTTAC